TGCTCTGGAGGCTCTAATGGCCTTGGGAGTAGCCCTCGGTAGGAAGCTGCAGCTGCCCACTGGGGACACTGGCTGGCGGTGCTGTGTACCCTCCTTTCCTCTTCATTCCCTCAGTCCCCAAATTGTAAACGACCTACTGGTGTTTTCTTGGGTCACCTTCGATAAACCTCTTGCCCATAAAGCCTCATCTCAAGGTGTCCTTCTGGGAGAAGCTGTGCCAAGGCCACAGCATGGCGCAGAGCAGAGGGACATTGAGGGGAAATGCAACAGCAGGAACCCTGTCCTAACGGGCTGCTCGCCAGGTGACCTTTTATCCTACAGACGGCTGGCTCATGAAGCCAGCAGCTCTCAGGACAATGGGCTGGAAGACCACAGGGTCAGCAGAGCCTACCACAAACCCTAATGTGAAGACACAGGCCCAAAACAAAGACAGGCGCTGCTGGTGACAGGTTCGATATGCAGGGGAACGATGGCTACGCCTATTTACTATAGAGAGAAAGAAAATCAAGCACCCAGGCATAAATTTAACAGGAAACTCCCAAAACCTAGAGAGAAAAGCTATAAAAATATTTCAAAAGACAAAAAAGCAGGTTTTGATAACAAGTCTCAGTTGGAAAGTGTTAAGGTTGTAAAATGTAAATCTTCCTAAAGATAACTTATAAATGTGATATGATGTAATAACAATGAGAATCCCATCAGGATTTTTTTTTTCTGTATCTAGAACATTTTATTATAAAGTGTATTTGGAAGGAAGAAACACCAAGAATAGCCAGATAAACCCAATGAAGACGACCCTACCAGCTCTTAAAATATATACTGGGTTATACAAAATTACATACAAGAGGAAGTGAGGGGAAAGGGAAAAATAATACAAGGGGGAGAAATGAATTACAGTAGAGGGGGTAGAGAGAGAAGAGGGGAGGGGAGGGGAGGGGAGGGGGATAGTAGAGGACAGGAAAGGCAACAGAATACAACAGACATGAGTATGTCAATATGTAAATCAATGGAAGTGTAACTGATGTGATTCTGCAATCTGTATATGGGGTAAAAATGGGAGTTCATAACCCACTTGAATCAAAGTGTGAAATATGATATATCAAGAACTATGTAATGTTTTGAACAACCAATTAAAAAAGAAGAAAAAACCTCTATATTTTTAAAAAAAACTATTGGCTTGACCCATAAATAGATAGGTCAACAGAATGGAAAAGAAAAATCCAAAAATATCCGCAATTACACATACAAATTGAATATGCATAATAAACAAGGTAGCTCAAGGCAGTGGGGGAAGGGGATCAGCTTTCCACTGAGTGGCATTAGGGTCACTGGATAGGAACACGGGAAAGTGCATTGGACTATCCCTTCGCTGCACAGCAGCAGCAAGTCCAATTGGACCAGAGGTTTCCATGGAACAAATGAAGTCATGCATTCTCTAGGAGAAAATAACTATAGGTGAATTCTGCCATCACCTGAAAAGAGAAAACTTTCCTGACCATAATTCAAAATTCAGCAACACTATGTGAAAGACAGATACATCAGATTACATAAAAATAAATCTGCTAGACTGTTTCCAGAGGGGCTGCACCATTTCGCTCCTGGGAAATGTGTGAGGCTCTGGTTGCTCCTCAGCCTCTCCAACACTGGCTCAGCCTGCCTTCTGGATGGCAGCCACCTAGTGGGAGTGGGATGGTTTTAATTTGCATTCCCCTAATGACTAATGATGTTGAGCATCTTTTCATGTCCTTATTAGCTATTCATATAATTTCTTTGGTGAAATGTCTATTTGAATCTTCTGCCCATCTTTAATTGAGTTACTTATCTTCTCACTTTTGAGTTGTAAGAGTTCTTTCCGTAAGATCTGAGTGCAATTGCTTTATCAGATATGTGACTTGAAATGCCTTTCCCGAGTCCATGTTTTGTCTTTTCTCTTTCTTAACAGTTTCTTTGAAAAAGCAAGATGTTTTCATTTTAGTAAAGTTCGTGCTAACATGTTTTTTTCTTTATAAGTGTCTTTAGTGTCCTAAGAATCCCCCTAAGAATGTTTCATCTAACCCAAGGTCACAAAAATCTTCCTACATTTTCTTCTAGGAGTTTTATATTTTTAGCTCTTACCTTTAGGTCTCTGATCCCTTTGCATTCATCTTTGTGTGTAGCATGATGTCAAGGTCTAAGCTGATGTTTGCTGTGTGGATGTCCAATTGTCTCAGTACCATTTGTTAAAAACAAAGGAAAAGAAAATCCTATTCTTTTCCCCACCCACCCTCCATTGAGTTGTTTAGGTATTTTTGCTGCAAATAAATTGGCAATAATCATAAGGCATTATTTCTGGACTTTGTATACTGTCCTATTGTCCGATATCACATCTTGATTGCCATAGCTTTAAAGCAAGCGTTAGAATTAGAGATTATAAACCCTCCCATTTTATTCTTTTTCAAAATCGTTTGGCTATTCTAAGTCCTCTGTGTTTCCATATGCATTTTAAGATTAGCTTGATGATTTCTTGGGGGGTGGGAAGCCTGCTGGGATTTTGATAAGAGTTGCGTTGACTCTAGAAATCAATTTGGAGAGAATTGCCACCTTAACACTATTGGGCCTTCCAGTAGCTTCCAATTAAGTGGTTTTTAATTCCATTAACATGTAATGTCTCTCCATCTACATAAATCTTTAATTTCTCTCAGTAAGACCTGATAGTTTTTATGTACAGGTATTACAATTTGTAAATTTATCCTAAATATTCTATTCTTTTTGTGCTATTTGTGAATGGAATTATTTTCTCGTCTTATTTGGAATTGTTCGTTTCTATGGTATAGAAATACAATTGACTTTTCATATTCATCTTGTACCCTGTGACCTTGCTAAGCTTGTTTATTAGCTCTAGTAAAGGTTCCTGTTGATACTTTAGGATTGTCTACATATGTGACCAAGCCACCCACAAATACACCTAGCTTCCCTTTCTCCTTTCCGTGTGGATGCTTTTATTTCTTTTTCTTGTTTCACTGCACTGGCTGAAAGCTCCAGACCATGCCGAACCGAAGTGGTAAGAACCAAGACTCCCCTTGCCCCCTTAAGGGGAAGCCTTCCGCCTCCACCTGTAAGTCTGGCTCCACTGAAGACCTCATTGACGTGAAGAGGACTCAGGAGCCCACCTGAAGAGGCTCCCCCTGACCAAAGGGGGACAACTTGACCACTGAGAGGAATAAGACATTGACTGTGTTTAAATCCGTGAATTCACAGCGACCCCAGAACAAGGAAAAGCAGATTGCTCGTTGTTTGGGGATGCTAGTGACCCAACACATTATTTTGAAAACTTAAAAAAAAACAAAAGTGGGAGAGAGTCATTCATTCCACCTTCTCGGTACCAACCCTTCTCGGCTGACCAAACAGGAGGAGAGAGGTTTTACTCTACAAGAGCACTGTGGCCAACAAAGGGAGGAAATCAGAGAATTAGAGGATCACCATCTTGTCACCTCAAATGAACTGATGCACAGGTGTGGTCCGCTACGGCCGGCACCACAGGAGAAGACAGCCCACACCCAGTGTTTCCCAGTGGGAGGGCATTTTGTGAAGAGAAAAAACTGACCTTGAAATTGGACCTCCTGACCTAGCCTCCGCTTGTTAAGATCCTTCAGTGGGCAATGGAACATGGCAAGGCGTTATGGGGAAACCATTGGCAAAACCCGGACTAGAAAACTACAGGACAGGTGAGCTGGCTTCTTCAGCCAGTGTTCTGGCATTTGTGAAATAATTGGAATTTTGAATAAGGATCAGATATTCCACACTATTTTGAATTATTATTAATTCTTTTTAGAGTTATATATTGAAATATTTACAGATGAAATAACATAATGTCTGAGTTGTGCTTCAAAATTAGCCAGGGAGTGGGGGTTGCGTGAATGACATGACCCTGGCCAGGCGCTGACCACGTCTAAGGCACTGAGCACAAGGGAGTTCATTACCCTAGTCTGTCTACATTTGTGAATGCTTGAAGTTTTCCATAAGAGGATGTTTTTAAAAAGAAGATCGCCGTGGGATTTGGAGTGCGATCCAGGTGACATCTTAAATCTTGGCTCAGCTCCTTATGAGCTGTGTGACCTTGAACAGATTCCTTGGTCTTCCTGTTGCATAATGTATAGAAGGTGGCCAGCAGCTGCCAGCACACAGCGCAGCCGCTTCACGACTGATAAAGATAACAGACCTGGCCCTGTGTGGGTCCCCCTGCAGGAGCAGTAGGGGAAGGACAGAGCGCCAGGAAATGGTGCCCGTGGGCACAGCTGGGACACCCAGCGTGGCAGAGGCTGAGCCTAAGCACTGGAGGTCCACCTACTCATCCAGCATTTTTAGGGCACGGTATCTTTTTCAAATTAGGTAGTCAGAAGATGATTGATAGTGGAAGATCGGGTAGTGTGCTTTGAGAGGTTAATCTGCAGATAGCAAACAGGAATTGTGGGGTAACTGGGGTTGAATCCAAGACTGGGCTACTTCTGCAAAATGAAGTCTGGATACTTTCTGTGTTGACCTTTAGACATTAATGTGCTGTGCCCCAAACACATCTGGCTCATGGCTCCTCCTCCAGAACCCTCTGTTCCTTGACACTAATTGATCACGTCCAGAACCTTGACGGCCACCAGTCTCTGTGCAGACCGTGGCTGCTGGGTGCTGTTCCAGCCCTTGTCAGCCCAAAGGCTCCGCGCTGCTGTCAGTCTGCCCCACTTCCCTGGCCCAGAGGCAGCAGGGTTGGTGCAGCAAGCAGTGCAGGTGGACCAGCTCCACCGAGCTCTGACGCCTGCCCCTTGATGCGTCCCTTTAAGAACAAATGACATTCTTGCTCCAAACAACATCCAGGTGGCTGCCAAGTGGCAAACACTGCAGAGAACTCTCCTTTCCAGCTGGCACCCAAACGCGGAGTGGCGCCTCCCTCTCTTCCTGGGCCGCTCTCCCACCCTCCTGCCACGGGCTCTTGGAAGGGTCTGGCCAGAGGACAATGCAGTGTCTGTGTTCCACTGCCTGCAGGCCTTGACCCCAAGTGTCAAAGTGGCCCTGTGACCAGGCACGGACGCAATGTCCTGGAGCAGGGGAAGCTGTTCTCGAGGCCAGTGCTAAATCTCCGATCCGGTGGGCAGTTAGAAAATGGGAAATGCCACCCTTAATTGCAGCCAACGTGCTTTATGCACCTGCACCTTTCCTTCTGATCTTTCCCACACGGAACAGCCTGATTTAAATGCACCATTAGAGGTAGGTGGCCTGGACCAAAATGTCAATAATAACCATGGCAACTACGGTGACAACAAGAAGAGCTGCCATTTTACTGAGCTTTTTCCAAATGCTCGATGCAGGGGAAAGCCCTTTAGCCCATTTCTCATTTTAATCCCACAGTGGCTTTGTTAGGTGGGTATCATTATCCTCATTTCACAGGGACAATATTTAGAGCACAGAGAAGGGTGGAAACTTTCCCAAGGTCACACAGCCAGTAAGGGCAGAAGCAGGAACCTGCCCCTGCCCTCTTCCTGAGGCCCTCCCAGCCACCCCCTCTTCCCTCAATAGACTCAAGGCATCTGCAGGCCCACGGAAAGCCAGCGGCCGCTCCACATAAAGGAAGGACAGTCAGAGCCTAATGTAAATTGTTCTGAGGGCTCTGCCTTTTGTTGCAAGGGAGGGAAGGAGCCCTGGAGAGGAATGTCTCCGCCGCTTATCTCCCCTTGCACAAGCCCAGCGAGAGCAGTAATTGATGGCTGGCGCACAGCAAGGTTGATAGGATGCCAGGCGGGAGGGACCCCATCTCCTGGGGAGGGGCTGGTTTATTAACCTGCAGCCCAGTGCCTGCTCTGACTTGTTTATAGGGTCCTCACGATTTGGGGGACAAGGAGCAAGAGCCTGTCGCAAGCAATCTGTCCCCTCCCCACCGGCCACTCCGCGTCCTCGTGGAATGGTAGGGAAGGCAGGGCGGTCGGGCCGGCCCGGGCTGCAATCTCAGATAGGAAAACCAATTGCTGTTCATAATAAATTCCGGCTGGAGCCATAGAAATAATAAGGATGAGGAGAGGTAACACCAATTGGCTTTATTTGATTAGCCCCTTCTTGGGCGGTCCAACCCCAGCTTCTTTTCATTAAAATAAGGGCAAATTGAAAATCGTAAAAGAGGCTTTCTTATCAGAGAACAAACGCCCGGGTAGATTCATAGGCCTAGGAGCCCCCGTGAGCCACCAGGCGCCTGCGAGTGAGCCTGCTCTCACTGTTCCTGACGGGCAGTCCCAGGAAGCCACTGCTCCAGGAGCTTCATTTGAGGACTCCCTGGTGCCTGTTTCCATTTATCTGAATAAAAGGAGAGACAGCCCGTAGCACCACCAGGAGGTGGTGCCCGAGTCGTGGATCTTGTGTAGCCCCTGAGGCCTGTGACGAGGCCGGCCCCCAAGCCAGGCATGACGGAAGCCTGCAGGTGGGGCCGCACCAGCCTCCAGGGGCAAGATGAGCCGGGGCATGAGACAGGGGAAGCCGGCTCGGCCGCAGCGTCAACATGTGCTTCCCACGTCCATTTTGCAGGCAGCTGAGCACAGTTCTGTTCATAGAAATTGTGGCTGAAGGTCACTGAAAACAAAGGCGACCTGCACATAGGTGGTCACATCCGGGAACCAGCCAGATCGAGGCTGGAGGGACTCCCTCATGGCTGCACTCCCAGAGCTCACGGGGCTCATCTTCAAGTCCTGTGACAATGTCCAGTGATTGATTCAGCTATTATGGGATAGGCATAGCAGGGGCTCTGAGTGCTGCCTGATGTCTGGAGGCAGGAAGGACTCTCAGAGCCCACCCTGTCAGTCCCCAGAACCAGGGAAGGGAGAGAGGACCAGAGTCGGGGAGGACAGAGCAGTGTGTCCGTCAACTGCTGGCAGTGGGGCCTCGGGAAGGGCAGCCAGGGGCTGGCGGATGGACATGGGTGCTTGAATAAGGTGGATCTCATTTCCAATGTGAGGAAAGACACAGATTAATCGGAGGCTGCAACCACAGGAGTGGCAGTGCAGGAGAGCAGGGACTCTCAACAGAAGCGTGGCCAGAGCACAGGGCAACTTGACAGAGTGCAGCGGGGAGAGGCTTGGGACAGGGCAGCAGGTCACAGAGTCCTTGTCCAGGGCTCATCTCCTGCCCCAGGGATATGCAGGCTAAGGGGATGAGAATAAAAGTCAGGCAAGCAGGAGAGCAGGCGGGGAGCCTCAGAGGATTCCGGGCGTCCCTCTGCAGGGTGGGAAGCAGAGTGGGGTGGGCACCCAGACGTGGCAGGTCTGGCCCAGCCTCCACCTCTCCACCTCCTGCACAGCAGCAGCGCTCCAGATGCCTGTCTAAGCAGGGAGTAATCCAGGAACTTGGTGGCTTTTCTTACAAACACAGAGAAAGCATCACTTTAGTTTAAAGCTTCAGTCAGTGGTGAGGCAAAGAACAGAGGGGCTCTAAGACAGGGGACAGGAAACAGCAGCGCCCCCCTTTGGATGCAGCACCACTGTGAAGGGGACCGGCCATTGCTGCTGCTCCGTGCAGCCCAGGCTCTGGAGCCCCAGTGGAAACGCCACCCAGTGTCATGTGTCATATTCCTCCCCACCACTGTCCCATCTGGCTGGAGTCCATGCCTCCACAATGGTGCCTGGCGCTCCCATGGCCCTCACCTGTCATATTCCAACACTGATACTTTATTAATAATCCAATGTAAATCTGAGCGAAAATTAATGTGTCATCTCCTTGCAGGAAGGACTAAACATCTCAATGTGAGGGTCTGTTGGAGTTGTCATTTATCATTAGCATGCAATTCAAGGCAGGCTTCCCACACTCTGGTGGGAGCTTTGGAGACAATGAATCTCGGGGAATTAGCTTCTGGGCCAATTATTCCTGTTTCCCCCACCTACCTAAGAGATAAATTCTGTCTCAGTGGGAGGGAAAAAAAATAAAAAGAAGAAGAAGAAAAGGAGGAGGAGGGAGTTTGCTATTCTCCTTCCTGGTTGAAATCAATTTTTCTCAAGGAGACGAGGCAATATTCATTTTGTGAGAAGGGAATAGGCTATCCGCTAAAGGCCAATAAATGGAGCCGTTCTGATGAAAACTTCCTCAAATCAAATGTAGGGGAACCTCTTAATGGGCTTTGTTCTTCTTTTCCATAATCCATAACTATTAAGAGAAAGATGGGCAGGCAGAGCCGGCACTGTACAGGGAGCTATGTAAACACCGCGCAGGACCTCGTCCAGGTGGGGCCTAGAGGTTGGGTGGACGTTTGTCCCTCCCTCCACAGACACGTGTCCTGTGGGTCCCTAAATGCCAGGCGCTGTTGCAGGTCCTGGGGACACAGTGGCACATGGACAAGCCTGTTTGGTCCTCAGGGAGTTTATAGTCCAGGGAGGAAATGGGCCAATACACACACAAACTAACAAAAGCAGATAAGCACTACAAAGAGACAACTCAAGACAGGAATTTGCACATTAAAACAGAATTCTTTCGTTGAGTAACTTTTTTTTTTTTTTTTAATCTTTAGTGCAATTCAAAAAATGCACCCTGGCAAAGTCACACTCTGGTTCCAGAGCATCGGGACAGGAAGTGATAGCAGTCCATCCTGGCAGCAGAAACCAGCCATCAGGAGCTGGAAGCCCAGGGCCAGGCCCACAGGGCTGCTCCATGTGGCATGGCCCGCAGCTGCACAGGGTGCCTGGCTGAGCCACCGTAGATAGACTTCCAGGTGACCACACTGTGCCCTCCAGCACTGCAGCCAGTCCAGCCCCACAGGTCATGGACAGAAAGCTGAAGGGCCCTGCGTGGAGGATCCGGAGTCCATCAACACCCCGTCCTCTCTGCTGGGCCTGCCCCGTCAGGGGAACAACTAGCCTTGGGCTGATGTGCCCCCGCCATGATGACGGCCCTGCCCCTGCTCCCCGGCACCTCTGCATCCCCCACTGGACACTTGGCCGGCTCCTGAGATCACCTTGAGGACAGAGACCACGCCTGTTTGTCTGAGCTCAAAGGTGTTGCTGCTTTCCTCTGTTCAACCCCCTTAGGCAGGTTCTAGCAGACCCCCCTCTTTGGGAGAAGAGACCCCATCTCGGAGGTTGAGTCGTGACCCCAGGTCATAGAGCACTGGTGGAGCAGGACTAGGCCCAGGTCTGCAGGACACAGGGGGGCCGCACTCCCCACCCCAGTTCATCACCACACAGTCTCAGGTACGCCGCCCTCTCCTCCCACCATTCCTCCCTGGCCTAGACGGCCTCAGCGGTGTCCAAACTTCACACCCACCCTCAAAGGTGAGGGTTACCTGGTCAGATCCCACTCAGCCACCCCCGTGGCTCTCATTCGATGTGCAGGCTCAGCTGCACCCCAAGCTGGGCACCCCCTTGCTGTGTGACTGCATCTGCCCCCTCCTGTCACATGTAGGTGCCCTGAACAGCAATGGCTTCTATTTCTCAGGCCACATCCAGGCTCCTATGGGATGTCCAGTGGCTGCCCCAGCTGTGGGCAGGGAGCAATCATCCTGGGCTCAGGAAGCAAAATTTTCTAGAAGATAACCATCTGCCCCCCAACAGGACACCCTCAGTGACCTACGCCCTCCTTCTTTAGAGACACCACGGGCACCAGCTCTGTGCCCCCGCCCCACGGCCTGGATTCCAGGGACTGAGGAGAGTCTAGAAGCCCTCTCGATCGCCACCCTGACTGCCCTTCACCTGGGCTAGGATAGACACAGCGTCCTCTCCCAGGGCTCTCAGGCTCTGGCTCCCAAGCAGAAGAGCCCTGAGTGGTGCCCCAGCCACTGCAGGGCTGCATTCCTCCTCCACCTGGACCACAGGGACACTGCCAGGAGGAACACCAGAATCAGGGCAGCGGCCGTGGTGCAGACGGGGACGGGGAGGCAGAAGGCTCAGGAGAGAGCAGAGAAGGAGCTTTTCCAGGAGGAAATCCCCGCCAGGGAGGGGTGTGGGGAGCCCAGAGTGGGAGCCAGCGGGTCAGCTGGACACAGAGGTCAAGTGGCCTCAGAGCCCAGAGACCCAGGAAACGGAGGGCAGAGAACCCAGCCCAGAGCTGGGAGCTCCTGCAGCCCTTGCTCAGAGGCTTCTCTTGCCCCCTAGGAGGGCTCGGACAGCCGAACCTGAAATCTGCAGCTTCACATCCACAGGGTGCGAGTCACAACCCGGGACCCTGGGACCCGGCGGGGATCCAGGCCATGGCCCTTTCCCAGGTGGGGGCACCCGGGGGCACCAGCTCCAGAATCCTCCCCAGGCTCACATGCCTCACCCCCTTGGCCTGGCTGCTCAGGAGCCTAAACCGTGAGCCCCGTCCTGGGGTCAAATGATCCCTGGGAATCTCCACCGGGGCCTCAAGGGGCCTCCATTTTCTGGAGCTTCGGGGCCCAACCAGCCTCTTAAAGCTCCCCAAAGAAGTGATTTGGATGAACATAACAATTAATTCCAAGCCCCAAATTATGGTCACCTGTGACCCAGAGTGCCAGGGCGCTCTATTTTTTCCCTTTAACCCATCTGCATTTTAACTTTTCCACAGTGAGCATAACCGTTTCATTTTAAAATAAGAGAAAAGGGGAAACTCTCTGTCGCTGAATTGAACTGGAGTGGCACCTAATTCCTAGGAGGCCTCAGCTGACCCCTCTCTGAGCCTGTCGGGGTCACTCCCTCGGGAATGGCTCTTGCCTTCTCTCCCCTGCTGGAGCCCCCTGTGGCGCTGCCTGGCACCTGTGACCCCCGTCCCCGACCTCCCACTTTCAAGCCTGCCTCATGGTCTAGCTCAGGTCCACTACTGCCCTCCCCAGAACACAGGCCTGTTTTACGTGTCTCCCGAGTCTAACAAGGGCCACCATGGGGACAGGAACGTGAGGCCTGAGGCACACGGAGGCGCCACTGGTGTTGGGGATGGGGCAGGCTGTGGCGGGCAGCACCCTCCTTCCCTGCCGCTCCTCCTGCCTCCCTGCCCCCCGAGGCCAGCCTCACCACCCGCCCTGCACTCTGTGGGTGCTGCCCTCTGCCCGCCCTCCACCTGCTCCAGGTGGCCTTCCCCGCCCTGCCCCACGTTCCTGATGCAGGCAAAGCCCTCCCGTTGGGCCAGCGCTGCCACCCTTGTCCACACAGGCCTGAAGTCCTGTGACCCAGTCCCTGTAGCCCAGCCCTCAGGCCTTGGTGTCACCACGCACACTGTCATCTCTGGCCCAGGTCCAGGGTCCCATCTGGCTCTTCAAGGCCTGTCTCAGAGGCCTCTGCATCCCCCACCAGCATGGAGCTCCACACCACCTCAGGACAAGACCTCAGGCCCCTCCCAGGCCTGCCTTGGCCTCCTTGACTACAGTCAGTTCCACGTCTGCCTCCCCAGAAGGCAGGAACCCCTGGGTGGCCACATCACTTTATCTTGGTCTCCTGAGGCCTATAAAAGTGGCTTCAGTCTCCAGACATGATCCCAAAGATCCTCACTGGAGCTTGGGAAGAGGTGACCCATGGGCCTCCTCACACAGGAGCAGAGCCCACGGTCGGGAACCATGTGGAGCAGCCTGAGTCTCCGGATGACTACGCACAGGTGACATGGCTCCTTGCAGGCAAAGTCACCAAGACCCAGAGAGGTGACACAGGTTCCCCAAGACCACACAGCCATCACGGTGCTGCCAGCTTTCTCAGGTGGGAGGTCTGACTCCAGGACACATTCAGACCTTGCTGCGTCCCCAGGAAGCTGGTTAAAAGGTACAGAGACTCTGATGCCAAGAAAGGCCTGGAACGGCTTGCACCCCACCAAGGGAACTTCTGGGTAGTTAATGGTGTTACACCCCCATTGTCAAATCTGTATGCACCCAAGAAGGAAATGCATAATCCAGACTCTTGGAAGAGTCCTTGACAGCGTCCTCGCTTACTGGGATTCGCCTGTGACCATCCTTAGGTACAGTACGGGTGGTGTCCAAGGCTTTGGTCAACAGAGAGCTCTGTGGCTCTTCTCTCCAGAGCTCGTAAACCAGCGCCCTGTGGTCTAACGGCCATGATGTTCCCCTAATCATGTTACTGCAATATTAATAAGGCTGTTTAATGCAACCAGTTCCTTCTAAATTGTCACATAAAATTTGGCAAATGTCAGACACATCATTTAATAGAAGATGATGTTTTACTGCCAGGGGAGCTAGGTGGCTGAGAAGATGGGCAAAAAGCCCCGTGATGACCTTAGGCAGGTTTAAGGGACAAAGTGCTCCTAGCCTGGGGCGCCTACCCTGGCCCTTCTTCCCTGGCAGTCGGCAGTGGTCCTGAAATTCCACCCTGTGTGGGACACTGGTCAGGATGCTGGGGCAGGGAGCGGAGCCAGGACCAGGCTCAGAAAGAAGCTACTCTTTCTTCATGGTCTGTGGGGATGACCAAACCCTCCAGCATGCCGTCTTGTTGGAGCAAAAGACTACAGGTTTCCTGTCACTGGTCTGACCACAGAGTGGCCCTTGCTGTCCAGGGACTGTGATTCCCATTTTAAGAAACTCAGCTCCCAGGAACTGGCCCACACATGAGCTCTTAACGTCTGGAATGAGGCAGGTCCACAGCAGCAAATCCGTGTTATGAGAACCATTTACAAAAGGTTGGGGTTGTCCCCACTGAAGTGGGTGCCCAGGGGACATGGAATGACGCTCACCACAGCCTTGCTTACGAGGGGCAAAGCTTGGAAGCCACCTAAAAGTGCTTCTGTTAATTGCTTTGGTAAATAAATCACAGTGTGTTCATATAACCAAATAGTATGCAGTGATTAGAAAAGATGTGCCTATCTGTATTTATTGACACATAAAGTGCTCTGTGGTTATCTTTTTTAATTGCAAAATAGCAAGTATGCTAGGCTCTCACGTAGGTGGAGCGCTTCCCATGCCCAGTGCCTACATGGCAGGAGAGCGGCCTGGGGTGGTGTTCTCCAGTGTTGGCCCTGACTGTGAGGAACGGGCGGCAGAGGATTGGGGGTGGGGAGAAGAGGTCTGTGTGCTGGGAATGTTCTTGAGCAAGCATGCGCTGTCTCAATCAAAGAGAAATATGTAAATTCACAGAAAATCAAAGGAGAGGGCTCACTGATTAACTCTGGCCCATCCTCAGGACACTGAGGTGACCGGAACTCAGTCTTAGAAACAGCTCACAGGCAAGAGGCACCCACCAGAATAAACAGATGGCTGTAAAGCTCCAGAGGCAGGCGATGGGGGAGCCCAAGAAAAGGGGCAGCTGTGCCAGGAGGCAGTGAGTGCCGTACTCCCTTTGTGGCAATCCCCTGCCTGTGCACCTGTGAAAGGCAGTTCTTCAGGGGCAGGTGTGGGCATGAAGGAAGCTCTCACCAGGCCAAGGGAAAAGGCCCTTCTGGAGCTTTGTGTTCTGTGGGATGACCAAACCCAAAGCAGAGAAGGCAACGAGGTAATGCTTACGGCCAGGGGCAGTGGACAGGGCCCTGGGCTGCACAGGCCGCTCCCCATACTCAGCCATCCCCAGGGACCCCCCCACACACACAGGGGTGTCAGCATCCTGAGCTCAGAGATAAGGGAAAGCAGTTCGGGGACCCTGCGGTGGGAGGAGGGAGGGACTACACTCAAACAAGTGGTGGGGGTAGGCATTGCTGTCACTCTCGGTCTTCCAGTGGGGACATGTGGCCCTCATCAGAGGAGGGTGGGTGCCCGGGTCTGAGCTGGGAACGCTGCTCTGGGCAGTCAGAGCCAACCAGCTATAAACTTGTGGTTATGTGTCTGTGACCCTCCCCAGGAGGAGATGGCTATGGGGTGGATCTGGAGTGTCCCCAGAGGCTCCCGTGTTGAAGGCTGGGTCCCCAAGGCAATAACGGCAGGGGAGGTTGGGGCAGGGACTGGGTCATGAGAACTCTGACTTCGTCGGTGGGTCCACCCATTGGAAGCTGGACTCCAGGGACGTGGTGGAGACTGCAGGTGTGGGGCCTGCCTGCGGGAGTCGTCCCTGGGAGCAGGCCCTGAGGGTGGCTCTTGCCCTCTGCCCCTTTCTCCCCACCCGCCAGCTTCCTGGACATTCTGGCTTCCAGCCACTCGGATGGGAGTGAGATGGACTCTCAGTGTAATTTTACTTTGCATTTCTCTAATAGCTAGAGTGTTGAACAATTTTCATCTATTTTTGACCATTCGGATTTCTTCTTTTGTGAAGTGATGGTAACCATAATGAGCCAGGGTGGGGAGGGGAAGCACAGAATTCATTGGGTCAGACAAAGGGAAGGAAGGGAAGGCGGG